AGTGAGGTATATAGAACTCCAAATAGCCATGATAAAAAAAAAAAACTACACCTAGACATATAATAGTCAAGATCCCAGAAACCCAACAGAAGAACAAAATCCTACAAGCAGTTAGAGAAAAGAAACAAATCGCCTACAAAGGAAAGCCCATCAGAATCACAGCAGATTTCTCAACACAAACCCTCAAGTCAAGGAGAGCCTGGAGTGAAGTAGTTCAAGCCCTAAAAGAAAATAACTTCCAAGCTAGACTGTTGTATCCTGCAAAATTATCTTTCAAAATCAGTGGGGAAATTAGATACTTCCACAACAAAGAACACCTGAGAAATTTCTTAAACACCAAATCAGCACTCCAAACAATTCTAAACAATATCCTAGAAAAAGACAATGAAGGTCACACCTCCATGAGGCCCAACAGAGGGAAGCCACCAGGCAAGGTAAGAAACTAAAGGGAAAGGGGAAAAAATAAGAAATAAAAGAGCCAACAACAGTAAAACATCATGGCAAGGATGAGTCAATATCTATCAATTATAACCATCAGTGTTAATGGCCTCAATTCACCAATCAAAAGAAACAGACTGGCAGAATGGATTAAGAAGCAAAATCCAACAATGTGCTGTATACAAGAAACATACCTAACTCAAAAAAAAAAATTCATAGACTGAAAGTAGAAGGATGGAAAACAGTTCTCCACATGACAGGAACCCAGAAAGCAGGGGTAGCAATCTTATTTGCAGACAAAGTAGATTTCAAACCAAAATTACTTAAGAGAGACAAAGATGGTCACTACATCCTTGTGAAGGGAACAATCCAAGAGGAAGAGATGACAATCCTAAATATATATGCACCAAATACAAATACCCGCAGCTAAACAAAACAAATATTAATGGACATGAAAAACCAAATAAGCACTAATACAATTGGGGGGGGCGTGGATTTAGCTCAGTGGTTCCGGTGCCTGCCTCACAAGTGCAAGGTCCCAAGTTCAATCCCCGGTACCAAAAAAAAAAATTGTAGTGGGGGACTTCAATACCCCACTATCACAAATAGACAGATCATCTAGACAAAAAATTAGCAACAGAATTCTAGAACTGAACCAAGCTATTGAACAAATGGACTTAATAGATATTTACAGAGTGTTCCACCACACAAAATCAGAATACACATTCTTTTCGGCTGCACAAGGGTCATTCTCCAAAATAGATCACATGCTAGTTCATAGAACATGGCTAAGTAAATGTGAAAAAATTGAAGTTACCCCCTGTATATTATCAGACCATAGTGCAATAAAATTGGAGATCAATAACATAAGAAACTGCAAAACGCCCACAAACACATTGAAATTGAGTAACACTCTCCTGAATAACCAATGGGTCACAGAGGAAATTAAAGAAGAAATTAGACAGTTTCTACAAGTAAATGATAATGCCAGTACAACATA